GCCAGAAAACAGCCAGCGTAGTTTAGCTGAAAGACTGGAAACAGGGGAAAACAGCTAGCCTAGCTCCGTCTAACCCAAACTGTAACAAAGGTGGGCGTATTTTGCTTTTAGTGGACAGAGTCAGGCTCACTGTTTCCCCCCATTTCCAGTCTCTGTGCTAAGCTAAGTTAATCCCCTGCTGGCTGTGGCTTGTAAAAAGACAAGTATAAAAGTGATATCAATTTTCTCATCCAAACATGCATGAAAACAAACTCTAATTTTTACTATCGACCCACTGTATTCTGAATAACTCGTGCTTTCTGAACAGTATAATATTCAGAGGTGAAACTTGCAGCTGCTCAGTTCTGACGTTGGTATTTGTGGTACTTTCCTAGTCAGGATCTGCTCGGTCACCCTGACCTTCAGAAAATGGATCCCATAAAAGAAGTTGACCTCTTGCTGCTCACAGAGTGGGTCGAAAAGGCAAAGGACAAACTGCTTGAGAATGTGCAGGTAAGAATACTGACTCTCTTCTGCTTGTACTTGGTCTTACAATTCAAAACCTTCATCATGTGAACAGATACTACACATTAATTCAGTCCTCTACCCCTTTTTTGACATATTCATTATGTGCCTTTGTGTAATGGAATCATGGGAACAGATTTATTCCCAGGAGCACAACATATCTCTGTGGTGACATTGTTCCTTGGTAACAGGTGTGTGTCTATTGGACCTCAACATGAAGGACATTATAAAACCGATAAACAGATAAATGACAATGACTGTGACCAAACAAAAGCCACAAAATTCAGCCTCTGGCCAAGTAAACACTAAGACGTTATGTCATAGTGACCAACCTGTATTTTTCTAATGTATTTTTGTCTCTTTTTTTTTTGACCTCTTCCACAGACAGAGGTCAGAGGTCAGCTGGAGAAAATCCTGCAGATTAAGAGAGGAAACGAAGCCGATGACGAACTTCATCTGGACACTATTTTGGTACGTAGGGCAGCAGAAGTTAAAGGAGTGTCTGTTGTTGAAACACTGAATATTTATCTGCTTTACTTTTCTTTATTTATTGGTCTGTTTATTTGCTGCATAATAATATTATTTCTTTTTTTTCTCTCTAAGTGCATCGAGGCCATGCCCAAAGAAGCACAAAAAATCAGCCCCAAACTGTCTGACCGTCTGCAGGAGGTTTGTTTCCAAGAGCTGCTTTTGTTTCTGAAGAGGTGAGATTAACTAAACAGATTTACATCCAGACTTTATGAACATTAACATCACCATTTAAAGTCGGAACTTTGCACGTTGAACACGTCATGTTTTCTCTGGTTTGTAGCTACTCTGCTACGCAGACTGAGAGACTTGGGGAAATGGCAAAAATGGACAACCCAGAGATGAAATGCTTCTTCCAGACTTTGAACAACTGTAAAAATCTCAAGTGAGTAACTGAGCGCTTCTGTCTCTTTGCTAGATATGAATTTAGTTCAACTTAAACTTGTTACTGTTCCTTAAAGACAAGGTTGATGTTTTGTAAGAAAAAACAAATATGATTATGATGATGATAAACGTTGAGTATATCTACATTATATTCATGATATTTCCTCTCAGGCTGCATGTCCAAAATAAAGGCACCCTTCTTGAGGAAGCTGTGGCAGTGCTTGAAAACCTGGAGGATTCCACAGTGAAACTTGTGATGGAAATCGTAGCTGACATCACAGAGGTAACTGTTCAACATAATCACAAATACGCTGTTTTCTTACATTTCTAAGGAGCCATATATTTCTGTTGAGAAACATGAAACTAACTTTGATGTTTTGTCACAGAGCCACCTGAAGAAATACTTCAAATCGGAGAACAAGGAATTCTTCCTCTTGATTGACGAAGTAAGGAATCATTTCTCCGAGTTTTCCTGCTTTCAGGACATACAAAAGGTACATTAAAAATCTTTATTCTATTTATCTTTTTACCATTTTGAGTCTTGTATAGTCTCTGTTTTCCCCTAGCCGGTAGGTGTGAATGGTTGTGCAAAAAAAAAGCATTGATTGCAGCCATTTTTCCGATATCTTTGTGTCTACATGCTGTTGTCTTTCTTAACAAAAACTAAACAGTGTCTGTCTCCAACTTTGTGTCTCTCAGAGAGTGATGGACGACGTCTACAAGCTCATCACTCACAGTTACCTGAAACATCTAATCCAAAACAGCCAGAGCAAACTGAGGAGGTGCTGGAGTCCTGATTTTGAACAAACAGTTGCTGAGGATATGAAGTGGCTACATATAACCATCTCAGACCTGGTGAGATCAACAGCCTGCTTATTCTTATGTTCTCTATAATGACATTAACCCATTAGCAGCTGGATAAAGTCTTAATTTTACTGCTCTGTGTGTGTGCTGTGTTGTATCAGGCTCCTGGTGTTCAAGAGTGGAACCTCATGTTGCTGAAAGTCACAGAGCTGGTGGAGTGTAAGAGCACTGACACGTTGAAGCTCACAGTTGGAAGTATGCAGAAAAAATGTCTCACACGGAGGTAAATTATTCTGATGACAGATGTTTGTTACACACACCTGTGTCCATTTATTCCAGTAATGTTACCCTTGTTCTCTGTGTGCACTAAAAGTTTATAATCAGCTGTGACATTGATGTTTTTCTTCCTCTTTCATTCAATTATAACTATTTTTACAGAGATACACTAAACTACAGTGTTACTCAGACACCAGAATTGTTACTTTTGAAATAGTTTGCGCCCCAGGAGAAGAAAGTTTAGGGTCCGTACACATGCAGCGTCTTTAACCTCCTGGAGAGTGCGAGGTCTGGCACTAGGTGCTACTCTTATGCCTCTTGGGTAGGGTGACCATATTTTGATTTCCAAAAAAGAGGACACTCGGCCCGGCCACGACATAGCCTACTTAAATGATACTCGCAGTTTACTCAAAGATGCCTTATAATTTTAATATATTTAAAGTTTATATGTATGGATAGAAAATTGAGTTATATTACAAAATAATATCTCTCAACGACAGAAATTCAGATAGGCCCCTATAGATAGGGGACACATGCACACACTAGAGTGTGGCTACCCGACCCGAGCCCGACGGGTCCCGACGGTAGGCATCCCCGACGGGTCGGGCCGGGTTCAGTCAAAAATGTATAAATTGTATTCGGGCTCGGGTCAGATTCGGTCAGCTTTCATTGAAAATGTAGTGTAAAAATAAATAAAATCCTATTGTCTGTCCTGTTTATTGCTTGGGCACTGTTATTTACGTGACAACACCTGAACAGAACACACACACACACATTGGCTGTTTGTTTCTACCTCTCCCCTCGCTGGAAGCCTCGGACCTTCTGCCGCCCGCTCCTGTCTCAAACACAGAGGTCTCCCTTTCCGCGGAGCACCCACGGCGCACGCCCGGCCTGTTAAATAGCCTGTAACCATAACAACTGTGTGACACAAACTCAGTGCTTTAGTAATTAAATAATGTTGGGCTCGGTTCGGTTTCGGACATAACAAAACAGAATAACTGTCGGGTTCAGACAGAAATATGCAGCCCGTGCAGCACTCTTACACACACACACACACACACACACAAGGAAAACCGGACATTATCATCAATTTATAAACACCGCTCGGACGCCCCGGACAGGACGTGAAAAGTGGACACGTCGTGGCAAAAGAGGATGTTTGGTCAGCCTACTCTTGGGGCCGTACACATGTTGCATTTTTTGCACCCTCAAACTATTAAGTGTGTTGCAGAATGGATTGAACCCAAAAGCCCAATTGATAAACTGAATGTCCAGCATCTTTAATCAAGTCCAAAAAATCAGTAAATAGACAGCAAACAAATACAAGGTGAAAGATGGTCTTTATGAAGGTGGACTTGTGACAGAGTGAGGCTGTGTTTTTGGGCTGGACCTTTTAATAATTTGCAGCATTAGTTTTCTTACCTTTCAGTCCAGAAGTTCTGATTTCACTTAAACCCTCTCTGGACTTCTTAAACTTGATTTTTTTGATGTTGTTGCTGTCAGCATCTAGTGGCCATTCGTGGAACTGCATCTCACTAACTCTGTTGTTTTATCTGCAGTGAGGACCTGGAGCTCCTGCCCGCATTGCTCCAATGGAACAGACTTTCTGGAAGGCAGGTTAAGGAGGTGCTGAAGGTCCTGGAGGTCCTCCCAGGCTATGAACCCAGACCGTTTTGGCAATCCGTCTCCACTATGAAGAATTAACATTCTTTGCTGGCTTGATGCTAATGGCTGAACTCACCGGGTTGCCAAAGTGGCTCTGCTATTGCACGCCACACCAGCATTCTTCCTTTGTTTGTTACACTGGAAATATCAAAAAGACTGCGGTTGTGTTGCTTTACAGCTGTCCATGGCAGTAGATTGCTCAGTGTTCCTATTGGTCAAAGTGATGGCTATTACACACAGAGTGTGTATGCACTTTTACCACTCTGTTGTACATCTGTGGTGTAACGACCCTCATAGTCGTTCACAGTCTGTCAACACCATAGGACGGCCATATTGGGCTTCTTCTTCTTCTTCTTCTTCTTCTTTTGATTTCATTGGCGGTTGGCAAACAGCTTTCAGGTGCATTACCGCCACCCACTGAACTGGAGTGTGGACTAGGTATCTAAATTATCTCTTATGTATTCATATTTATGTATGTCAAACAAAACAAACAAAAGAAACAAAATTCACTTAACATCAAATAACCCAGCCTTATATTCTATTCATTAATCTAGTTGATCTTAAAAAATTCATTCGCTGTTTCCAGCACCTGAAGATTTTCGTAATGTGTTAATGATATTGACTTGACTGCAGTTTTGTTTCTTCTTTTGATCAATACAGCCTATTAATTTATTTTGATCTAACGCCCATAGAGAAGTATGAATTCTTAAAAGACAAAGTCACATAATTGTGTTTCAATATTTATGGAGAAATCAGGTCTAGAACCGAAAGGAAATTGTTTAACTTCCCTCTCCCTTTATTTATTTATTTATTTTTGTTATTTATTGTTTTACTTTTAATATGCTCTGACTACTTCCAAAGGCTGTGCCAACAATGATATTACAAGTAACTAATAAAAGAAATAAGCAAAAGAGTTCATTCAATTCAAATAAACACAAGAAGTTTGTGCTCTAATAAAAAAAAAAAAAAAAAAAAAGGGATCAGCGCTCAGTGAATAATCCTCCTAAGCCCTACGATAAGCTATTATGGCAAGGCTTAACTATACAGACCCGTGAGCAGTGATAACTAACATGTCTTTGGGGTCATCGGGTGGGAACCTCCTTTCACCGGTGTTTCGTCTAGTTAGTCCCACGACACCTCCAGGAGGCTAGACAGTGATCTCTGGCGTCCCAGAGACACTCCCCTAATGCCAGGTCTCACTGCTCCCCACACTAACCGAACAACCTCCTTTACCTTACCTATACTACCACAGAGGAGGTAGACCCAGGGAAGGAAGCCTTGTTAGGCTATCACACTCCCCCGCCGGGTTAGGCTGTACAGTCTACCTCCCCAGGACGAGCCCTCACAACAATGACACCTCCAGGAGGCTGGACAGTGATCTCAGCCCAAACAGCACTGCCAACTTCAACCAAGCCCAGGCTCCGTTTATGCGAGCTCCAGGCAGAAGCAATGCTGATACTACCTTTACTAGCACATTCACCATACTCTATTTCACACGCTACATAGCATAACTACAATGTAAGCTAAAGTTAAAGGAGATAAATGAACTCACAGGATCAGCAAACACACTCACTTTGCAGCATGGTCTCAAACAAAATGGATTCAAATAGGCCACTCCCACACTTAAATAACCTTCCTCTTCCTGGATTTCCTTCTTACTTACACATGGCTTTCTCAGCCCAAACAGCACTGCCATCTTCAACCAAACCCAGGCTCCATACATGCGAGCTCCAGGCAGAAGCAATGCTGATACTAGCTTTCCTGTCACATTCACCATACTCTATTTCACACACTACATAGCATAACTACAATATAAGCTAAAGTTAAAGGAGCTAACTGGACTTACAGGATCAGCAAGCACACTCACCTTGCCGCATGGCCTCAAACAAAATGGATTCCAATAGGCCACTCCCACACTTAAATACTTCCTCTTCCTGGATTTCTCCTGACAGGAAGTGGATCTCTCCACCTGATCTCAAGGAGTTATGTGCCCTGCTTAGTAGTTCCCCCTGCTGGCCCCCAGCTGACATTATTTCTTCTGTAATAGATAAACTGGCTGCATTTAATTGCTTCATCTGACATTTCCCTCACTGTCTTCCTCAAATTCTGTCCCCGCACTCCGAGTTCCCCCAGGAGTGAGACAGTTGATCTTGCTATGAATCCCCTACACCCCACTTCCACTGGACAAATCCTAGTCTTCCATCCTCGCTGCTCAGCTTCTGCTCCTAAGTCTGCATATCTAAGCTTTTTTCTTTCATAGGCTTCTTCCACTGAGTCTTCCCAAGGAACTGTCAGCTCAATGAAATAAACTATCTGTTGACTCACTGACCACAACACTAAGTCAGGCCTCTGCCTGGTACAGACTATTTCCTGAGGAACAACAAGCTTTCCCCCTAAATCTACTTGCATTTCCCAATCACAAGCACCTTCTAGGCGGCCACACCCTTGCCTCCTCACTAACTTATCCCTTCTGTATTTCTCTCCCTCACGGACAAACTGAATTACTAAGCCCCTATCCTTAACACCTTCTGAATTCACCTGTCTTCGTTTCCCTTCGATGCCTGCAGCTAAACATTTCAACACCTGATTATGTCGCCATGTATATCGGCCTTGTGACAAGCTAACTTTACAGCCTGACAAAATATGCTTTAAAGTTGCGGTACGTGAACACAATGGGCATGATGGGTCCTCATTTACCCACAGTTTTAGGTTCTGGGGGGTTGGTAACACATCGTATGTAGCCCCTACCAGGAATCTAATACGATTCTCCTCCATACTCCACAGGTCCCTCCAACTAAGCTTCCTCTTCTCTACACTTTCCCAATTCAACCACTGTCCCTGTTTAGCCTGGGCCACTACCTTTGCACCCCTTACTATCTCTTCCTGTCTGCGTATCTGTTCTACAACCAGCTTTCTTTTATCTTTGAGGCCTGCTGTATTCCATACCGGTTTACCTGAGCCAAGCCCCAGGCCTCCCCGGCCAAACTGAACATTACCTACAATCTCTGCATGTCTAAGAGCTGCCTCTGCCTCCTGAACTGCCGATCTTGGGTTCCACTTCCTCCCCTTGGTTGGATTTGGAACCACACTCCTAACTACCACGTCCTTACTCCCAGATAACAAGAGCTCTGTCCTGACCTTGGTACATTTAAATTCCTCTGTTAAACTAGATACTGGCAGCTGAAGTATCCCTTTTCCATACAATGCAACACTACTTAGGCACCTAGGAGCGCCCAACCACTTCCTAATGTAGGAGCTAACCGACCTTTCCATTCTCTCCACAACAGATATTGGAATTTCATAAACTGACAATGGCCACATTAACCTAGGATATAGCCCAAATTGCAAACACCACAACTTCAACTTTCCTGGAAGTTCTGATTTATCTATTCTATCCAATCCTTCAGCCACATCTTTTCTAAATTTCACCACCTGTTCCTTATCATTCAACTCTACATTGTACCACCTACCTAAGCTCTTTACTGACTTTTCCCTAATTGTTGGGATGTCCTCATCATCTATGACAAACTTCCTATCACTTAACTTCCCTCTACATATCGAGATGCTTCTAGATTTACTAGGCTTGATTTTCATGCTGGCCCACTTGAGGTTCTTATTTACCTTCTCTAGTAGCCTCTTTGTACATGGCATTGTTGTGGTCACCAGTGTCATGTCATCCATGTAAGCCCTAACTGGTGGAAGATGCAACCCATTCTGCCGTCTCTCCCCACCTACCACCCACTTAGAAGCCCTGATGATTACTTCCATTGCCATAGTAAATGCTAATGGAGAAATTGTACACCCTGCCATGATGCCTATTTCTAGCCTCTGCCAACCTGTTGTGAAACCTGCTGTACTTAGACACAACCTAATATCCTGAAAATATGCTTTCACTAAGTTCAAGTGATTTTATAAACTGGGACAAAATGATGAGTAAATTCTTGTGGGATGAAAAGAAACCGAGAGTTAAATTGGAGACATTGAAATTGGCCAAAGAGGGGGGGGGGGGGGGGGGGGGGGGGGGGCCCGAGAGGGGGGGACTTGCTCTCCCCAATCTGAAGCATTACTATTATGCTGCTCAAATGCACCCAATACGGGTTTGGTTAAACGATAATTCCTAAGCAAGGTGGAGGTCAATAGAAAAGTACATGTGCTATGTTTCATTAAAAACTATACCTTTCTGCACAGTGATCCAACGAAAAACAACTAACTAACAAGTAACTGAGAATATATTCAGCAGAAATACTTTGGAGATCTGGCATAGAATTAAAAAGCATTGTGAAATGAAGAATGACCTAATTGCACTGAGCGAGATAAAGGAGGATCCCAAATTTACACCTAATAAACAGGATGCACTGTTCAGTATATGGGCACAAAGAGGACTGACCATATTTAGACAGTGTCTGGATGATAATGGAGTAATGCCATTTGAAACTTTAAGGAAACATTATGATTTATCACACTCCCACCATCTTCGTTATTTGCAAACGAAAAGTTATATCCATGACAGTAAGATAGGAAGAAAGACCAAAAGTGAACTTCACCCACTTGTTCAATTTTTGCTAAAGAACTATAACAATGTTAGAGTACCACATCAAATTTCAGCAGTGTATGCTATTCTAGAAAATAGCTACAAGCAGCAAGACACAAGGGCCAAATTAAAATGGGAAGAAGAACTCAACATACATATAGCAGAGGAAACGTGGAAGCAAATGAATCGGAATGTACATACAACTACAGCATCTCCCTATTGGAGGGAGTATGCATGGAAAATACAATCACATTACTTCATAACACCAGTGCAACAAGTTAAATATAATCGTAAAGTACTATCAAACTGCTGGAGGGAGTGCGGCGAATCTTATGCTAAATTTAGTCATATCTTTTGGTTTTGCCCATCATTAAAATCATTTTGAATAATATACAGAATTAATATTATTTTAAAGGTTGACATTCATCTGAATACAGATTTTGTGCTGTTGGGTAAGACAGTTGAAAAAAAATACGAAATGAAAATGATAGATATTTGTTAAGGGTTC